CACATGCCGACACGTGCCCACATTAACAAGCTAAATGAAACGTAAAAGATCAGAACAAAAACGCGTCCAAAGAAACACGACTTAAAGGCTAAGTGAATACATGATAACAGAATATAAAAAAACATGCACGATCAAAGATAAAACTTGAGGACAACTGATCATTTCAACAGAATCTAAATCGATGGAGTGATGTTTTGTGCAGCAGGACAATAATAAAGTAGCTGAGGTACCAGACGAATTAAAGAAATCGAGCTCTAAGGAGTCGAATAAATCGAGCTCTAAGGAGTCGAATAAATCGAGCTCTGGGACCACATGTAATAAAGTACTCGTGGCCATTAGTCTCACAACCGTGCTAGTTGCTATATTGGGTTATTTCGTGTTTTGAATCGACTGTTTAACTGGTAGAAGGAACTATCTTTCTTTTTTTTGTTTGTATAGGACTTTTTTCGACTGTTTTCTAGTTCTGTTAGGTTTAACACCGGCGTCTACGACTAGTTACAGATGATATGTGGCCTATTTGTTATTTATGATGCAGAAAAAATGGTTTCTGTATATATTGTTGAGATTTTGAGCATGTAAACTACTATGGTGATTTTGTATATTTTTCTAGTGGCTTGTTGAGATTCTCTCTCTCTCTCTCTCTGAATCAAATGAACTAAAGAATGCATTTGAATTAGCAATGATATAATTTGTATATTGAGAGTAATGATGTAATGAAAATTGAATTAGCAATCACAAAAAATTGACATTTAGCTAAAAAATTGACATTTAGCAATCACAAAAAATTCTTAATTAAACTAAGGGATGCACAGAAGGATATTACAACTCTAAATTCTAAAAAATTCGAAAACAAACAAAAATTTTGGGGTGAGAGAGGCTCGAACTCTCGACCTCAGGATTTCTCTTTAAAGCTATGAGACCTACGCGCTAGCCAACTGCGCCACCACCCCTTTGTTATCAAACATCAAGAACTACCTTAATCACTGTAACAATCCTCATCGGCCCTCAAAAGCGTACGGAACGAAGAGGAAAGTGGGCAGAGCAGAATCATGTTTTCGAAGTCCACGCTGTTCGTTTTGCTTATACTGATCACTTCTAGCACAGCAAAAACTCCGGCCCAAGTGACGATTTTCGATGAAGAATCTGCAAAGGAGATTCTCAGCTCGGCCCACAAAGAAAAAGATTGGCTTATCTCGATAAGGAGGAAAATCCACGAGAACCCAGAGCTCAGATTCCAAGAATTCAACACCAGTGCCCTCATTCGCGGTCAGCTCGATGCCCTCGGGATATACTATGAGCATCCATTGGCCGAAACGGGTTTGGTTGCTCGAATCGGGTCGGGTTCACCGCCGGTTGTTGCCCTGCGTGCTGATATGGATGCTCTCCCCTTGCAGGTCTTGTCTTTTGCCCTTTTTGCATATTGGGTTTTTTTTTTTTT